ACATGTCAACACTCTCCTTTCTCGCCCTTGGAGGACTTTTTTTTTTTTGGTAAAAATATACATAGCCAAAGTTACACCATTTCAGAAGTTTTTACATGTGCAGTTCAGTGACATCGATTACATTCTTCCAGTTGTGCTGCTATTCTCACTATCCTTTTTCAAATTATTCCATCACCATTATCTTCAACTCCCTGCCCCCTATGCTTCCCATTAAACCTTTTGAGTTGCTGTTGTCTATTTGATCTCACATAGTTAATTCTTTTTTTTTTTTTGTTTGTACCTTAGATGAATGTTTATAGTACAAATAGTTTCTTATTAAACAGTTAGTACACATATTGCCCTATGACAATGGTTAACAACCACACAGCATGTCAACACTTTTCCTTTCCAACCTTGGGTTCCCTATTGTAGTTTTCTTGTCTTGTAATGTCTTTGTCTAGTTTTGGTATCTTGGTAATAATGACCTCATAGAATGAGTTAGGTAGTGTTGCCTCAGTTATCTGCTACTTCTTTTTGTTTCGATTTAATAATATATCTTTGAGATTATTCTTTCTCAATTTTAAAGAGAGGCCTCTTTTTTTTTTTTTGCCAACTACAGAGTGTTCTGTATATGACTGTTCAGTAATTTATTTATGTAACCTATCTGTTAGTCATGAACATTAAGCTTGTTCCTGTCTTTTGATATTGCAAACAATGCTGCAGTGAATAATCTTGTATATAAATAATTTTGCATAAGTGTGAGTCTGTATGTAATTGAATTTTTAGCAGAATTTCTGGATCAATCTATGACTCTTTATTTTACAGAAATACTAATTCTGACTTTTTTTGTGGAATGGGGAGTAGGATGCTGTAGGGAAACTTACTACACTCATCTAGCTGGATCATTTTGGAAAGGTTTTTTGAGCTTGGGAAGTTTACTGTGGTATCACTGAGAAGCAAAAACATTCACGTTTATCCTGTAAATGTTGAGTTTTACCTTTATTAGCCAAGATACATAACCCTGGATGGGAGGGAGTTTTGCATACCTTTTGTAAAACAGCATGGGGGCAGTATATGACCTCCTCCAGCCCCACAAGAGAGAGGGAGAACCAAGATCAACAGACCAAGGCTGATTCTTATGAGGTGGAGGTCAGACATGCCTTCTCTCTCTGCCATTTTTACCAACTCTTGACACCAACCGTCCCTCCCACAGCACTCTCTACTGGGTTCGATAATTCATTGCAATGACCATACAGAACTCACAGTCAGTTCTCATAATTGTGGGGTTTATTAGGGAAGTTAACAGTTACAATTCAGGCTCAGGAACACTCAGAATACAGTTCTTCCTTCAGGACAGCCTCTTCCCAACTGTGCTTGCAGACACGCCTGTCCCTGACCCAAGACAGCCTCTTCCCAAAGGCACTCAGCTTTCCCTCTCTGTGGGCTGGGAAGCCCACTGCGCCATCTTCTGCTGTGAGGTCTCTCCTGCCACCACTTCTCACCGTCTTCAAGGTTGCAGCTCGCTCTCTGTCTCCTGGGTCTCGGGAGCTCCTCAGTGCAGGGATCCCAAGTCCAAAGGACATGCTGGCTCCTCCCTGCTCTGGAATTGACTCTTTTTTAAGGCAAAACTGACCCGTCTCCTTGGTGGGCCACAATTACCCTATCACACAGTCCTGCCCAGTCACTTGGGTAGGAGTTTTAAGAACATAGCTAAAAAGACCACACACAAAAGTTATTAATCACGCGGCACGTAGAAAAATAATACCTGTAGATACAGCACATTTTTTGGAACTTGGATAATTAAGAAAACAAACAGATAATGGCATACAAATGTATATGTTACACATTTTAATGTCGTACTTTCCTCCTGTAGTTATATTTTGAGGTTACATTTCAGAATTATTGGTATTAAGGATCTTAGTAGTGGTGGGGTTAAGTAAAAATTACATATTTCTGAACACTGAAAAAAACTTTATACAGATATATCATATTCTAAGACCAGGACTGATTTTTTTCCTGAATAATACACTGCTAATATTTATGATTTCTCTTGTAGTCCAGTGTGAAAAAAACCAGCGTTAAAATTCTGAAAAATTTTGATGAAGCAATAATTGTGGATGCTGCAAGTCTGGATCCAGAATCTTTATATCAGCGATCATATGCAGGGTAAGATTGGCTCATGTCTAAAATTTTTACAAGTGTAGAGAATTTTGCATCATTTTAAAATGTGGCTCGCTAATCTTTTAATATGTGCCTAGCATTTTTACATATAGTGTGTAGTATAGCATGATTATTAGGATGAGGTCTGTGGAGTGATTTTCCTGGGTTTTATTTTGGCTCTGCCACTTACTGGCAAGCTACTTAACCTCTTTGTGTCTCACTTTTTGCATCTGTAAAATGAGAATGATTCTACCTCATTGGGTTGGTAGGGGGATTAAATGAGATAATACATGAGAAGCATTTAAAACATTGCTGGACATCTTGTACCAGTTGCCACTGAGTTGATTCTGATTCCTGGCAATCCCATGTATGTCAGAGTAGATATGTGCTCCATGGAGTTGTCAGTGGCTGATACTTTCTAAAGTAGATCACCAGGCCTTTCTTCCAAGGTGCCTCTGGGTAGACTCAGACCTCCAACCTTTTGGTTAGCAGTTGAGCACATTAATTGTTTGCACCACCCAGGGACTCCAGCATCTAGTAGGCACTCCATAAGTGTTAGTACTATGATAACCATCATTATTCCACTACTATCTGTGACATTGATGAGTATCATGTTTATATAGTGTGTTTTTGGCTATCTCTTGCACATTTCATTTGAGTCATTGCTAGCTATTTCAAAGACTCTGTCTTAAAAATAGAAAGAAAAAAATGCCAATATCATTTATTAATAACAGTCGTCTGACTGGGCAACGTCTGACCGCAGATACATCCGTGGTCCCGTAAGGTTATAATAGATTTTCAGATATCTCGATTGGAGAACGGGGCGTAGCAGACATAAGCAGGCGTAGCAAATGCAACAACTTCCTGCACGCAACATGTGTGTCTCATGTCTCTTGTATACAAAGCGATTGCACTGCCAGGTGTATAATGGTACGGTATGTGTATAACCTATAAAACGTGTCTTGATAGTAATCATAAATGCCTGTGTTACTGGCTTATGTATGTACTTACTGTCTTTCATCCCTGGTTTACCAGTGTTCGACTTACATAGAATCCGTAGTTATGAACCAACGTCTGTAAAGCCTATTATATTGAAAATTCAAGGTACATACTGTGGTTCATAATAACAAACAGGTGCTACTTTGCAACGCACATCAAAGCATTATTATTACTGTATTATTTTAAAAATGTTTTATTGTATCTGTAAGTATTTCATGTATAGAAAGTTACACTAAATGCTATATACTAAGACAAATATTTGACAAACGTCCGTTAGATACGAACTGTACCTAACTGTTGCAACTTATGTACAAATTCGACTTAAAGACAGACTTAGGAACAAAACTTGTTCATTATCCGAGGACTGCCTGTATATAATATGGTGTTTGCACAACATCCGAATCACCTAACGTCCTATTTCACAGTATATATTGTGGATGTTAAGCGACGCATGACTATACTTAGAAAGTGGAATAAAGTTATTCCTTTGTATTTGAAAACTAAATTGCTTGTTCATTTTAACATGTAACAAAAAGACAGTAATACATAAGATATGCCGCTTATTGAAATTTATCATACTTCCCTTCCCACTGTCCTAAAGGAATAGTGCACCCTCCTTTCCTCGCTGTTTTGAGATACTGCCTTTATCCTCAAGTACCGCTGTGTTAAGGCTTCCTGTCCCCTTTGATTACACCCCAATTCTAGTCTTCTCCACTTCTACTCAGGGTACTTACTGTTATAGAGTGTATTTTTGTTTGTTTACTTTAATTGATATTGTACTCTACATGTTTTGTTTTATGTGCTTTCATTCACAGTGAGTTTGGAATATTTTTCGTTAGTCTATACAGATTTATCTCATTTTATCTATGCTGTAGTACTCATGTAATGTTAATTATAGCTCATAACTGTGGCAAAATATGCCATAGCATGTTATTCTGCTATTTGACCATTTTGATATTGATGAGTATTTAAGTTGTTTGCAGTTTTTCACTATTATCCAAAATTGTGCAAAGGACCTCCTTTTATATGCTTTCTTGTACCAAGAAGCATTTTTTAATTTTAATATTTCTTAACAATTTACCTTTAAAAGTAGCTGTATCATTCTACATTCTCAACAGCCATTAATAAGAATACTTGTTTCCTCTGCATTCTTGTCAATACTAAATAATATCAAACTTTAATTTTTTTCCAATATTGGGTGATAGCTGATGAGTGTGAGCTTCTTTTGGTATGTTTGTTGGTTGTTCAGGTTTTTTCTTCAATGAATTGACTATTCACGCCCTTTTTACATTTTTCTGTTGGGTGATTTCTTAATGACTTGCTGGAATTTATATTAATAATTTATATTAATCATTGGTTTGTAGTATCTATTAAAAATAAGACCTCTATGTTTTTTGCCTTTTAACTTTGTTGATATGTCTTATAGAGAATTAAAAATTTTTATCATTATTTATTCATTTTGTCTTTTTTTTTAAACGATTTATAATTTAAGAAGGACTTCCCTTCCCCCCATTCTTAACATATTTTCCTGTGTTTTCTTCTAATGTTTTATAGAGTTGTTTTTTCCATTTAGGAGTGATATGAGTTAGGGAATTATTTTTTCCCAATGGTTAGCCAACTGTCCGTTTATTGAGTAGCACACACTTTCTCACTGTTTTGAGACACTGCCTTTATCCTGTATTTCCTTAGATACATGTCTCTTTTTCTGAATTTTTGTTCTGTTGCATTGATTTTTTAAAATATTTTGATTGTTTTATTGAGATAATTCACATACTACAAAGTTTATTGATTTTTAGTGTACAGTTTCAGTGAGTTTTCGTAAGTGTTTATACAGATATAAAGCACCACCCCAATAATGATATAGAACATTTTCATCGCCCAGAATAGTTCCCTCATGCCAGTCAATTCCCATCCTGTCAATCCCTGGCTTTCATCACTATAGTTTTGCCTTTTCTAGAATTTTATATAAATAGAATCATGCAATGTGTAGTTGTTTTGTGTCTGGCTTCTTTTTTATTAATTCTTTTGAGGTTGATCCCTTGTTCCATGGATTTTAATGTGTCTATTCCTATACCTTAATTGGAGCCCTGGTGGTGCAGTGTTTAAAAGCTTGGCTGCTTACCAAAAGATGGGCAGTTCAAATCCACCAGCTGCTCCTTGGAAGCCCTATGGGACAGTTCTGTTCTGTCGTATAGGGTCACTATGGGTTGGAATCGACTTGATGCCAGTGGGGTTTATACCTTAATTACTGTAACTTTATAATACATTTTGATCATTGTTAGAGCAAGTCTTACCTGTTGTCTGTTCTTTTACAAAATTGTCTTGGCTATTCTTGTGCCTTTTCTTTTCTGTGTTAATTTTAGAATTGTGAATTACCTATTAACTTGTCATCTTTCATAAACCTTTTTGGGATTTTGAATGGAATTTCATTGAATTAAGTGTTATTTTGCTTTCTGTGGGGAAGGTAGGTTCTATTTAAAGTATGCTCCACTTTGAATAACATAGGATAGCTATAAATTATATTTCTGGCTTTCCAGATTTAGATAAGATGTGTTTAAAAGTAGTTTTTCCCCCTCGTCTAAATGTAACACTAATTGTAAAAGATTATATTCTTGGTTTCATCCTTATTTAGGAAAATGACATTTGGAAGAGTCAGTGACCTGGGGAAGTTCATCCGAGAATCTGAGCCTGAGCCCGATGTAAAGAAATCAAAAGGTTTGTGGTGTTTTGATACTTTGTATTAAGCCTTTACTCACATTACTCATTGACTGTAAGTGAAGGACCATTTAAGATTTAAACTGTGTTTGTTTGTTTTTGTGAAATAACCACCATATCTTTCACCCTGTGTTTATAGTCACAAGTGAGGACAGCAAGGGCGTCATATAATCACATCGCTATACAGTCTCGTCCTCTGATCCAATTTATTGAACTTGCAGAAGGTACCCCTGTATGAAAAAATATTGCTCACCTTTTTATATAATAAAAAAATACCCAATCCAGGTTGAATTTAAGCTTTATCTTGAGACCTTCTATTTCCTCTAGATCGTTGAAAGATCTTATGAAATATATGTGAAAAATGTCAATAGGTTGAATCCAAGTCCTTACATTGTTTAAGCAGCGGAAGAGTGCTTGGTCGGTTCTAAGCGTTAGACTCACACTTTACAAGTACACTCTTTGTGACTGGTTTCAGCTTCCAAATGACTGGTTTACACGGGAGGATTTTGGAAACCAATAAACTTTTCATGTGGTTGGATTGGCAGTATTATTTCGAGTAAAAGGTACTAACTTTTGTAAGAAGAAAATGCTTCATTTTGACAAATGTGTTTAAAATTAAAAACTCTTGTTACTCTTCCCATGGAATTTAGTAGGACTGCATTCCTGATTTTTTTTTTAATACAACTGTTATTTAAATAATGAATTACACACTTTTTTTGGATGAATGATCTGTTCTTTGATCAGATGTACATTGACAGAGTACTTTAAAAAAATGCAACAATTGTTGAAACAAGTTAGACTGCAAGAAGACTTGTTACCCAGTTGACTTCACTGGTTTATCCAAATAATTGATTTCATTTCCTCTTTTGCCAGTGAAATCTTGGATACACAGCTGGGTAAAGGATAGTCTGCACAGTAGTTTATTCAGTAAATAATTCTTGAATGCCTCTGTGCACTAGCATTCACTAGGCAGGTTAGAAGATACAGATCCTGCCATCAGGAAACTTACAATCTAGTGGTTACGTGTCTTTTATTGTGTAAAACATGAATACTAGGAAGAGGTCACTGGTGGCCTTGGAGGAGAGGAAGTGCTAGGTGGCCTCTGTAAGATATTGACCAGGAAGGGCTCTGCAGTGTTATCAGGTAGGATAACAGGGTCTCCAAATTTGCTGATACAGCGTTAATAGAAAATCTCTGAGCTGTTTTTTTAGCTAGTCTTATTCCTCTGACAGCTAATGAAGAAATGCTACTATTCCAGAGTATAGGCGTTGGGTGTTTTGTCATTTGCTCATGTTTGTTTCATATGAATTAAGACATATTATGAGTAGTTAAAGATAAAAAGGAAACTTTTCTCCAAACCACTGTCTATGTATTCTATTCATTCCGTCTCTTCATATTATTTTCATCCTATAAAAACAATGGCGTGCCTACTGTATCTACTGTTCTAGATAACTGAGAAGATAACAAAATTCTTCCCTTCATGGAGCCTAACATTATAGTGGAGGAGACAGCAAACAGATAAACAAGTACAGTGTATGTGCGTGTGTTATGTATTTATATATAAATATAAAAAGCAGGTTAAGGGACTAGAAGAGTAAAGTTTAGTGGTGGTTGTCAGGAAATCTTCACTGAAGCATTTCAGTAGAGACTTGAGCAAAATGGGAGAGTAAGCCCTAGCAATATCTGAAGAGTGTTCTTGGCAAAAGGAACAGAATAGAGACCTTGAAGCTGTAGAGCGCAGTGCAAGACTGATGTGGCTGGAGTCGAATGAGCAAAGGAATGAGTGGTAGAAGGTGAATAAGGTTACCAGAGGCCATGGTAAGGACTTGACAGTGTTGGAATTTCATTGGAAGTTGCAGTAGTGAAGTGACATGATCTGATTTATGTTTTAAAGGAATCACTCTGGTAGCTGTTTGAAAAATAGAATGTAGAGGTTTGAGAGGAGAAGCGGGGAAACAGAACGTTCTGACTGTAGTCTAGCTAAGGGATGATGATGGTTGTGAATTAGGCAGGTAGTGGAAGAATGGTCAGATCTGGGTATATTTGAAGGTAGCGACAAGATTCTATCTCTACGAGCAAGCTCATCTATCAAGTTACTTGCATTATTAATTTAATTGAGGTATGCCTGCATACAGTAATGAATCTGCAGCTTGGTTTAACACATCCGTATATCCTGGTTACTTCAGTTAGTTGTCCAGACATCTCTTTAAGTCAAGTATTTTTAGGTAAGTAAATGTATTGTAGGAGCCTAGAGATTGAACACATTAATTCAGTAGGCATTTGAATGACTGCTGTGTGCCAGGCATTGTGCCAGGGATACAAATAAGAAGTGTCTGTCCTCAAGTAGCACCCACTGCACTGGGAGGAGACAGGTTTGTAAACCAATAAGTTTAATACAGTGTAATTAATAATCAGTTAAATGTTGCTATGGAAAAATCACAAGACTGGATGCTGGACTTGAATTTCATAGCACAAGCCTCGAATAGACATGCAGCCCTACGATTTTTCCCTCATAAACTCACCTTTCCATTCCTTCCTCACTCTGTGAAGTAGCTATTTTACATCTTCTTGTTACTCAAAGCTTTTACACCCCTTGGCATGCTTCACTGTTAGCTGATGGCCTCACATCTTGTTTTATTCAGAAAATAACAGCCATAAGATAAGCACTCCTTCATCTTCGCCATCACAAAATCTACAACCCTTCTGGCTTATTTCTATCTCCGTTTTATTCTTCCCTCAGGGTACAATAGAGGGAGAGGAACATCTTTTTGGACTCTAGTTTCTCCTCTAGTGCATCCCCTCTCCTATGCATCCCAAAACTTAATAGATACAAAACAAAATACTTGATTTTTCCCACAATATCTTTTCTAATCAAGTCTTTTCTATCTCAGATAATATCATTATCCATCTAAATCTGACTCCGCCTTTTCCTTAAGCTCCACATACCATCCATCTGTAATTCTTTGTTGATTCTACCAAAATATATCTTAATTCCTTCCCTTTTTCCTATCTGCCTTCTTCTCAAGTCTACCAGATACCTTCTGAGCCCAAGCTACCAACACCTTTTGCCCAGGCTATAGTAGTAGTCTCCTAACCGATTTTCTTCTGCTCTTGCCTCTCTAGGTTCATTCCCCACATAGCATCCAGAGTAACCCTTTTAAAATGTGAGTCTCATCATGTCATTTCCTAGATTAAAACCCTTCAGTGGTTTGCCACTTTTTTGGAACAAATTCAAACACTTATTATAGTCCAGTAGGCTCTCCGTGTTCTCAGCCTTGCCTTGCCTACTTCATTTGGTATAACTCTTCTGTTGCTCTCTTTGTTCTACTTACATTGGACAACTTTCAGTTCCTCAAAACAAGCCAGGTTCTTGCCTCTTCCATAACCTGTTTTGCTTATAATTTCCTCTGCCTGGAACCCTCGGCCCTCACCAGTCCTTTGCATGACTGACTCTTTCTCACCTTTGAGGTCTTTAATTCTCCTTGTTTAGAGCCAGATCTTCTCTAACAACCATATTTAAAGTATCTGGCCTCACCTGCTGAAATATTTGAAAGGTAATGATGTCTGTGGCTTACTCTTAAATGGTTCAGCAAAGAAAGTGGTAATAATAACAATAATTTAACAGTAATTGTGTGTGTAAAGAGAAAAAGCAAATGTGGCAAAAAAGTTTAGTTATTACTATTATTATTAGGTGCCGTTGAGTCGATTCTGACTCGTAGTGACCCTGTGTACAACAGAATGAAACACTGCCCAGTCCTGTAGCATCCTCATAATTTTTTTATCCTCATGTATTTTTTTCTTAGGAACTATTATTTAGTTGTTATTATTATTAAGCTTTTTATTATTATTAATAATAGGAAAAAAGTATCTGACTACTTTCTCTGTCATATAACCCTGCTGGTTTCCATTACAGCACTTATTATAATCTGTAATTATCTTATTCTCACACTTATATTTACTTGTTTATTTTTTCTGTTTCCTCCACTAGAATAAGATCCATGAGGGTACCTAGAACTCTGCCTGGCACTTTTTAGGTGCCCATTAAGCATTACATGGAAGTATGAACAAAATGCTATAAGAATACTAAGCTAAATTTTGGCTTTGATTATGGCATGATCCGCAGTCACTCAGAATCCTACCACCTAGAGAAAACACCTGTCAGTGTTTTTGCTCTATTTATACATCTGCACAACAAATCAGAATCATTCTAGTAAGATTCTTTAGAGTCAGTTGGCCTGTCCCTTTGGTATTCATTCTGACTTGTCTAAAATTACATTATTTCAGGTAACTGTACAATCATTTTTTTCATTTACACCATGAACATACTTTTAAAAGTAGACCGAGATATATGTACATGGATGTTTATTAAAACATTGTTTGTTTCTGTTAACAAAACAGTGGAGATATCTATCAGACTGTTTAAATAAACTTTATGGTTCTTCTACATAATGTACCACACTGAATTATTTTTTAATGAGATAAAACTATATTTATTAATGTGAAAAGTTTACCAAAATGTAGTAAGTGGAAAAATTGATAGAACAGTATGCATTATATGATTCCTTTTATGTTTATTTTTAAACACTTATATTATTTAAAAGTGTTATTTGTACATTGAAGAAAAGTAGAAAATACGGAAAAACAAAAACAAAAAATGAGACCATCACTGTTAGTACTTTAGCATGTGTCCTTCTGGATTATTTTTCTTTACGTATGTAAATACCAGTGACTTTGTGTTTTGCTTGTTTTTATACTGAATATACTGTTTATTAATAAGCTCCACCTTTCCATTCCAGTAGATTTTCATTGTATCTAATACTCAGACCATATATTCATGTTTCCATGATTGAACCTAAAATGTCCTTTATAGCTGCTTTGTCCAGACCAGTATTCATTTCAGGACCACACATTGCTTCTTGTTGTTAAATATCTTAAGCTTATTTTAATCTAGCATGGTCCCTTTTTTATGACCCTGGCTTGTTAAACATATTAGGCTGATGGCCCTACAAAATGCCAGACCTTCTGGATATGTTATTTAACTTATTCCTCTGTCCTTGTATTTCTTGTAAATTGCAAGTTATATTTAAAGGCTTGATGATTTGAGTTAAATATTTTTGGTTAGAGTTACATATGGGTGACATGTATGGTATTTTTTAAAGACTATATTTATGTTGGCATATCCATTAAATATTCCCTGAAAGAATACATTAACAAATTTAACAGATTATTTTAAGAATGAGAAGAGGTACGTTTTACTTTTCATTATACCCTTTTTCTCTTCTTTTTTTATTTTCTTACCCTATACTGCTTAATCATCCACCAGTACTTGTCCCATAGCTTCCTATTGCACTTGGAATAAAACCTAGATGCTCCGCTGTGATCTATAAATGTCCTCGTCCTGCCTCTGTAACCTTATCTTGAGCTGATCTTCCCTTCATGTACTAAACTCTAATTGAACTATCCTTTATTCTTTTTCTGAGGTTTCTTCCTGTTTTTGGTCCTATACAGTTGCTGTTTCCCCTCTGTAGAAGCCCTGCCATGGCTTTTGTGAAATGACAGGCTCCTTGTTCTTTTCTCAAATATTATCTCTTCAGAAAGGCCTTCCCAGCCCACATGGATCTAAAATCGTCTGTACTACTAACAGTCACTTCTTTATTTTCTTATTCACTATCTGAAATTATCTTGTTCATTTGCATACTTGTTAATAGTGTATTTTGCTTCCATGACTAGAATATTGTCTCCATGAGAGCAGCGATTTTAACTGTCTTACTTGACACTCTATTAATTGCTTCTGAAATTATGCCTGGCACATGGTAGACACTCATTAATATTTGTTGAATGAATTAATTAGTCTCTTAAAATGACATCATAGGTTATCTGGGTGTTAAGATTATGGGTTATATTTACTTTATCTTAAAAAAATTATTTTTTAAAACTCAGTTAACCTACACACATTGACACAGACATAAGTTTTTTTATCCAAATTACTTCATTCTTCTCAGGATACTCAACAGACATTTCCCCCAAAATAATGAATATTTGCTAGCACAAATGCCAGAATAATGGAGATGAAGAAAGTGAGGAGCAGGGAGACTATGATTTGTTGAGGATCACACAGCAGATTAATAGCAGTTATGAGCTTTGGTTCAAATTACCATCTTGACAACAGTTGTTTATCAACTCCCCTATCTCTATTTTCCTCTCCTTCCTTGCTGAGGGCAGCTGGAAAGAGTGTCCATCATTTAGGTTTTGAAACCCTGAAAATAGAGCATAGATGCAAAGGTTGAGTTTTGAGAAGAACATATCTCAGAGACTTCTCAGAGTGTGAAACTTTGTTTTCAGGGCAAGGATGGTAATTTTAAAACTTATATTGAAATAATCTAGGAGAAAGCATAACAAGAAGAAATTGTAAAAGGATGTTTTGAACGTGTGATCCCTATAGTGGCAGTCCCCTCATTGTGAAAGCCCTTGTGTGTCATATTAAGAAACTTGGGACTCCTGTCATCTAGATATTGGGGATTTCTAAGCAGAGTACTGACTAGATTCATTTTTCTGGAAGTCACACGGGAATGAATTAGAGTTGGGGAGGAACTGGTGTCACGGAAACCAGTCAGTCAGTAGAATGAGCTAGTCATGTAGGTAGAGAGAGAAGAGGATTTGAAGTTATTAGGTAGTGGTAGCAGGAATTAGAAGGAAGGTCAGATTTACGAGACTTTCAAGATCAAATTCAAGAGATTGCATTCCAAGATGAAATTTGGTGACAGATTTAATGTGGAGAGTAAATGCGTAATGAAGATAGCTTGAGTTTTTTAACATGAGTTCACTGGGTAGGAAATTGTGGATTAACTGAGATAGAGGATAAAGGAAAAGGTAGGTGGGAGACAGATGGACTCAACTTAGAACTTGTTTAGTTTGAGATGCCTTTGGACAATTCGGAAGTATGGGTTTGGGACCAAAGAGAAGTTTTTGTGTTGTCTGCATATTAAAGGAAATTAAAGCCCCAGGAGAGGATGAAATGCTCCAAAGAGCATATGTTGAAGAAAACAGAAGACTGGGGATGGTATCCTGGAGAACCTCCATGTTAAAGGAGCGGGGAATGGACAGAGGAAGAGTCAAAGATGTGAGTAATAGAGGAAAAGGAAAAAGTGTCAGCAAATAGGAGATTGTCAGTAGTGTGACACTAGTTGAGCCTGAAGAGACAGCAGTGTGTTTGGTAATTTCAACAGCCATTTAAGACTTTAGGCAGAACATTTAACACTGTGGCCCTGTTGACTCTGCTTGGTAGTAAAATTTGACTAGACCAATAGTCAAACATTTGCAAATAATAAAAATTATTCACGGAAAAAGATCCAGTTTTTGTATTTTTCATGAATGCTATTTATAGTTCTGTCCCAATATTGAATTAATCAGGACCTTGCCTCAAATAATTAAACCAGATCAGTTGGTTTAAGCCGTTAGGAGGTGAGCCTATTCAGACTAATAAAAGGATAAGCCGCGTATTTTATTTATGGAAATAGAGGCTAGCCTACTTCCTTGGTAGTTCATTAGGATCTGAGTACAGCTGTAGATGGATTTGTGTCCTAGGAAGTTGAGGTGTACTATGGCCGGAGCAGTGCATGGTACTCACCCAGCTAATTTATACAAACCAGAGATCCAACTTATAGCAGCATAGTCTTTACTAGAAACCCTTTGTACAGGAGCTGATCTGGAAAGATTGGATATGTAACAAATGAATTGATGTCTCCTGATAAGTTGCTAGGTTCTTATCCAAGACCAATATCCTGGTCAGAGTTTTGTTGTTTTTTAATGTTTTCTGTAAATCTAACAGTAGATGATAGTTTCTTTCATAAAGTAAGGAGAGTACCCATCAACAAATGAGTGGATAAACAAAATGTGGTATACATACAATGAAATGCTATTCTGCCAGTAAGAGAAATGAAGTCTTGATACATGCTATGTGAATGGAGCTTGAAGACATGCTAAGTGAAATAAGTCAATCACAAAAGGATAAATATTGTATGACCTCACTTTATAAAAAGACAAGAAGAGGCAAATATCTAGAGACCAAAGTTTATTAGTGGTTACCAGGGACAGGAGGGGAGCGGGTAAGGAAGGGAGAGTTACTGCTTATGGAATACTGAGTTTTTGGTTTATGGTGAGGGAAAAATCACGTCGATTTAAGGGTAGGGTGCACAGCCAATTAATGTAATTACTGTCAATAAGTTGTACACCTGTAAAAAGTTCAGTTGGCTAATGTGTGATAGATATATTTACAACAACAACAGAAAAAAAGAGTAGCTGCTGAGGCTGTTTATGTACAACAGAATACCTCATGGGATTTGATTCCTTGGTTTGGAAGTTTAGGGTCATGGTTTCATGGGACATCCCAGTTAGTTGACATAATAACATGTTTAGTGCTGCTATTCTAACTCCTAGTTTATTGCATAGCTCCTGAGTCTTAAAAGCTTGCAGACGGCCATCCAAGGTACGGTTGGTCTCTGTTCACCTGGATCAACAAAGGAAGAAGAGGAGTCAGAGACAGGAGGAAGAAGTGGAATGTGTGGCTCTGTGCCTCCAGGAGCAACTGCCTCCTTTGCTATAAGACCAGAAGAACTGGATGGTGATTGGCTACCATTACAGAACATTTTGATCAAGGATTCTATAAAAGAGACCTGATCAAAAGGGGGAATATGCAGAACATAATTTAAAATGCTCATGGAATCCAGAATTTCTGGATCCATGAAGGCTGGATGAACCCCTGAAACTATTGCCCTGAGATAATCTTTAAACCTTAAACCAAAAATATCCCCGAATTCCTCTTAAAACCAAACAACTGTTTAGCTTAACTAGTAAAGAATGTCTGTCTTGAGCATTGTGCTCATTTAAGATCTATCTATATGGGATCAAACTGACAAGAGCAACTCGAAAAATTAGGTAGCAAACTTAGGGGGCAGTGGGTTTATGTTAATGGAGAAGAACAATTTGGAAATGGGGGTGAGAATTGTTGTACTCAAAGAATGTAGTCAGTGCCACTGAATTGCACATATAGAAATCGTTGAATTTGATGTATGTTCTGCTGTGTATATTCTCAACAACAACAAAATAAATCATAAATAAATAAATGAATGCACTGACCCCCCCCGAAAAAAAAAAGAAAAGGAGAGTAGAAGAAAAACTCAGAACTCTGAAACAGCCTTTCAGAAGTTTTTCAGGTAGCACAACATGGTGAATGCAGTTAATTTTACTGAATTACACACTTAAAAATAGTTAAAATGACAGACTTTTTGTTATATATATATGTTTATCATAATTAAAACAAAAAGTGTTTACAAGTTTAATAGTCTGTTATGGAGGCAATAGAATCAGTTTTTATTAATGGTAATATTCTTTAATGTTTTGGATGGGATTGTGCAAGAAGTGAATACCCATATCTGAAAGTAACAGCTTATAAATAAGAGCACTTTTAAATATAAAGTTATGCATGAAATCTGCATTTAATTTTGGCTTTGTTTACTAGGATCCATGTTCTCACAAGCTATGAAGAAGTGGGTACAAGGAAGTACTGATGAGGTAAATTCTACTTTTAGTGTAAAGAGATTCCTTTACTAAGTACCACCTTATCTAAGTAAGGTGTAAGATTTCTTGTTACTTTAGTTCCCATGTTTAAAAATCATGGCACATCAGTGCTCCCTTATCCAGGATGTAGCAATAAATGGTGACCTCTCTTAGCATCTAACAATTACCTGGTGGTAGCAGTAGAGGTAATTTCAGTCCAGAGACTGGCCTCTGAAGGATATCCATGCATTCAAGTTTCTATCAACAAACAGGCCTCAGTAATCAGTGTAGAAATAAAAAGCTCAAATGTTTCCTTCCCCCACTGCCAATTTTACTTTCAGAAGTGGAGGCCTGCTTTTCTAATACTTAAGTATATTATTGCAAGATGGGGTGGAAAAAGAAAAGTGTTTTATTTTGACCATCCAACATGAAAATGATCATAGTGTTGGGTCCCCAGTAGCTGACTCTAGAAGACAGTGTTAAGACATCATATTAGAGAGTAGCTCAGATCCTCTCAGACATGGAAATGTACTTCTAATCCAAATAAATACAAATGATACACATACACAGTTACAGTTAGAGCATTTTTAATAAATAACCATTACCAACATTTTGAATTTCTTCTTTTAGGCCCAAGAAGAACTAGCTTGGAAGATTGCTAAAATGATAGTCAGTGACGTTATGCAGCAGGCACAGTATCATCAACCATTAGAGAAATCTACAAAGGTAAGGATAACTTATGTTCTGACCTAGCTTGTGTACAATTGAAAAGAATTAGATTTCAGATAGATAAAAATAAAAGAGGACATAAGATGGTTTCTGCTTCTGCCTTTGAATGATTAACTGATACAAAGATTGCCCTCTCATCGTAAACAACTAGAAAACATCTGGCCAACTAAATGCAACAATGGTTTCTAGATACTGGACAACAGCAGTATAGGACTATAATTTCTTGTAAGAAGGGTAATATGTAGGCAGCCCTAGCTTATTGCCTACAAGCAGTTTCCAGAGTTTACAGAGGAAGAAACCAAACAGAGCCTGGTAGTCTTGCTGAATTAAGAAGTGAGAAGTTGAGGTTTGAGGAGTTAATGGCTAGAAGTTATAGAACCAGGTACCAGAAAAGAGGGAGCTGCACAGAAAGAGAGCTCCAGAGATACGTAAAGAGGCCCACTTGAGCCCTTGGTGAGTATAGATGTACATGCATTGAGTGAAAATACACACAGCCAGACAAAGAACCCAGAAAATAGTGGGCTGGACAATTCCTGGAATTGGGGCTAGAAATAGTTCACGTTCACTGGCCGAAATGGAGAGATGTTGTGATACACAAGGCATTAGGGTAGTGCCTCCAGAAAAGGTTATGTCTTACTAGAGCTAAATTAGACCCATTGTAAAGCACTTTAAAAGCAAGTTTTGTAAGGATCAAACTGATCTGTAAGTAGCTTAACTGCATGCCAGAGCAAAGACCAGCGCTCTTTAAAAGAACACAATAGAATTAAGCATTCAACGTTGTAAAATCAGTGTCTGACATTGAGTAAAAAAATTATCAGGCATTGCAAAAAAGCAGAAAAATCTGACCTGTAACCTAGAGAAAACTCAATCTATAGAAACAGGCCCAGCAATGACAAAGATGATGAATTTAGCAGACAAAGACCTTAAAACAGCTGTTTTAAATGTTATAAATATGTTCAAGAATGTCAAGGAAAACATGAATATAATGAGGAAAGAAATGGAAGATATATAAAAAAGACCCAGATGGAACTTCTCAAAAGAAAAAATACAATATCAGAAATGAAAAATACACCCACTCCTCACTTATCAACATGGTTAGGTTCCGAAGACCAAGTCTTTGTTAGGTAAAATACTCGCAATTTCCTGCCTCAGCCTACCCTCCTCCCCAACCCCAGCCCTCCCAACTAGGTGGCTGTGGCCCCTCTGTACCTGTGGCGGTCACAGGCCCACTCTCGGTCTGCTCGCGAGTATCCGAATCCATGCTACGGGCAGCTGGCTGGATGTCCTTAGCCTCCTGGCATCACAGCTCAGGCTCGGTGGTGCACTTGATGCGGGAAGCGGGGCAGCATGGGCTGAGCAGTGCACGGCAGCCTCGGCTAGGGAGTGGTTCTGCAGAGGCGAACGCCATCCACTCCCAATGCCCGTTAGCCAGTGCCTGCATGTGAGGTGAGCCTGGGATGGAAGGTCGGGTGCACCAGAAGGGAGAGGGCGTGAGCCAGGAGGAGCAGGGATGGCTCCACTCCTCCCTTCGCGCACCCTGGACAAGCTGCACGCAGTGAGGGTGTGCACGTTGGTGGGGTCGTTAATGTGTAAAATAGTCAGATGGCAGATTTTTTACTATTGTCATAAATCTGAAATGTCAGATAATGAGATTGTCAATCAGTGAGGAGTAGATGTACACTGAACAGAATTAACAGCAGATTAGACATAGAGAAGAAAAGGTCAGTGAAAAGCAATTGAAATTATAAAAAACAAGGAAAAATAAAGTCTGGGAAGAAAACAGAAAAAGAACAGCCTCAGTGAACTCTGAGGTAATATCAAGCAATCTAACATGTAATTAGAGTTTTTGACAAAGGGGGTGGGATGCAGAAAAAAAATTTTTCAAGAAATGATAGAAAATTTCTAAATTTGATAAAAACTATAAACTCACAGATCCAGGTGTGTGATAGTTAATGTTATGTGTCAGCTTGGCTAGGCTGTAATATCTCAGCAGTTTGACAGACAACTACATATCACCTCCCATTTTGTGATCTGGTATGAGCAGCCAGTTAGTTGGAAGAGGAGTTTCCTTGGGGGTGTGGCCTGCATTAAATGAATATACATGAATATTCTGGCAAAGCTCACTTTCTTCCCAATCCTGCAGTTTTTCTCGGCATATGAACCTGGTTCCTGGAATGTAAGCCAGCAGGGGCCTCCAGCCTGTTGCCTTACCTGCAAGTTTGGGGTTCATCAGTCCATGCAACCACGTGAGCCAGTGGAGGTTGTCAGCCTGTCATCTGACCCATTGATTTGGGACTTGCTGGCCCCCACAGTTGCATGAGCCTTTCACTCACAATTGTGTGAGCCATTTCCTTGAAGCAGATCGCTCTCTATATATCTATATGTATTTCACTGGTTTTGCTCCCCTAGAGAAGCCAAACTAAGCAGAGAGGTTCACCAAACCACAAGCAAAATAAACTGAAATAAAACTACAGCAAGGTACATCATAATCAAATTACTGAAACCAATAATAAAGAGAAAATCATAAAGATGACTGGAGGAAGAGGTAAATTACATACATAGCAACAAAAAGAATGACAGCAGACTTCTTGTCAATCTGTGCCAGCCAGCAGATAGCTATTATCAGACCTTTTATCAGTGAAAGAAAAGTTGATTGAAAATTCATTCCCTACAGACTTATGACTGAAATAAATCTTTAAAAAGTTCTTCAGGAAGGAAGGAATGACACCAGGTTGAAATCTGGATCAACACAAAAGAAGTGGTGAATAGATAGGTAACTGTAAAACACTTTTCTCATTTTGAAATCTGTTTAACAGACAATTTATTTAAAGCAAAGTAATAATATATTTTGAGGTTTAGAACATACACAGAAGTAAAATGTATGACAATAATAATACAAAGGATAGGAGAAGAGAAATGGAAGAAAACCGTTGTAAGAATTCTACACTAAACATAAAGTGAGATAATGTTATTTGAAGGTATTGTGTGATAAGTTAAAGAGCAACCACTAAAAAATAAAATGGAGGCATATAGCTAATAAGCCAATAGTGAGAGGTAAAACCAAACTCTGAAAAATACTGAGTCCAAAAGAATACAGGAAAAGAGGGGGAAAGGGAACAAAAAACCAATGGGACAAATAGATGGCAAATATTAAGATGGTAGATTTAAACCAAATCATATTAATTGCATTAAATGTAAATGGTCTAAATAGTTAAAAGACAGAGATTGTCAGATTGGATGATAAAGCAAAACTCAGTTATATGTTATCTGTAGGAAGCCCACTTTAAATATAAAGACAAAGATAGGTTAAAAGTAAAAGGATGGAAAAGACACAGCATGCAAGCACTGTGAAAGGTAAGTTAAAATAGCTGTATTACTGCAAATCAGAGTAAACTTCAAAGCAAGGAGAATTACCAGGCAGAGAGGACATTTCATAATGACAAAAAGGTCAGTTCATCAAGAAGACATTACAGTCCTAAACATGTATGCATCTAATAACAACTTCAAAATGCATAGAAGCAAAAACTAATAGAACTGCAGGAAGAAATACACAATCCATAACTATTGTTGGAGATTTCAGCGTTCCTCTCTCAGTAATTGATAGAACACTAAGGATGTAGAAGACTTGACCAGTGCTATCAACCATCTTAGCCTAAATGACATAGAAGAATTCACTCAGCAATAGCAGAATACACATTCTTTTTAAATGTACATGCAACATTCACCAAGAATACCATATGCTGGGCCATAGGAAACAAATTTCGATAAATTTTAAAGTATTATAATCATACAGAGTATGTTCTCTGACCACAGTGGAATTAAACTAGAAATCAGTCAATAGCAGAGAGATGTTTGGGGAAATCCCAGTATTTGGAAATTAAACAACATGCTTCTGAGTAACTCATGAGTCAAGGAAGAAATCAAAAGAGAAATTAGAAAATATTTTTGACTGCACTAAAATGAAAACACAACATAATATTTGTGGAACACTGCTAAAGCAGTTCTTAGAGGAAATTTTATAGCATTAATTGTTTACGTGACATAAGAAAGATCCAAGTCTTTTTTGTTAAGAAACTAGAAATGAGTAAATTAAAGTCAAAGCAGAAGGAAGTACCTAATAAAGATAATCGTGGGTATAATTACATGGAAAAGGGGCAAACGGTAGGAAAAAAAAATAAAAGATGGCTCTTTGTAAGGACCAATTAAATTGATAAACCTCTAGCCAGACTAATTTAGAGAAACACAGAGCGTAGACATGAGTTATCAGTAGAAGGATTGAAAGATGGGACATTACTACAGCTCCTACAATTATTAAATTGATAATAAGGGAATATTATGAACAGCTTTGTGCTAATAAATTCAACAGCTTGGATGAAATGGAGAAATTCCTTGAAATACACAAATTACCAAAACTCACTCAAGAAGAAGTAGATAACCTGAATAATGCTTTATCTATTTAAAAAATAGGGTTTGTAGTTTTTTTTTTTTTAAAAAAAAAGCCTTCCCACAGGACTTAGGGCTGTGGTCTCATGGGACAATCCAGTTAATTGGTTTAATATATATATCTTAAAGTTTATGTTCTACCTCCCAGTATGGTGGGAGTAGTGTCTGGGGTCTTAAAAGCTTAGGAACAGCCATCTAAGATACAACTATTGGTCTTTGTTTGTCTGGAACAAAAGAGAAAGAGGGAAAGCAAGAATCAGAAAGAACTGAACTACAGGAGTAATTGTCTACAGATACCACTGCCTCAGGAAGACATTACGATCCTAAACACCTATGCATCTAATAAAAGAGCTTCAAAATACAGGAAGCAGAAACTGATAGAACTGTAGATAGAAATAAACATCCATAATTATTGGTAGCATTTCTCTCTCAGTAATTGATAGAACAGTCAGGAGACTAGAACAAGATGGTGCTCGGCTACAACTACTGAACGTTCTGATCAGGCTGATCAGGAACACAATAGATGAATCCTGATTAAAAAGGGAGAAAATGTG